CACACACACACACACACACACACGCACGCACGCACACACCCCCCCCCAGCAGCTCCTGAGAAAAGTGTTCCTCACTCTCGCCCAGGTGCACAGCTATCCAAAGCGGAACTTGAGTCTGTATTTGACAGTGTTGGGATTTTTCCGAGGCACAGACAATGAAACCTTTGGTTTTGCTGGAGTGGAGGCAGGTGACTTTTTCTTCTCAGGAACTGTGACAGTGAAAGAAAGTTCTGGCTGCTCAGACTGCTTGAACCTTGGAAGGAAGTGGGTGGATATGTGCTGGGGTTTCACTCGGGGGCTGCAGCCTCTTTTAGCTTTGCCTCTTTTGTTCAAAGCCACATACCACTCTCTCCCAGTCTTTTCAGTCCTATAAATCGCTGAGGCATATGTGTTATAGCTGTTCTCTTGAAACCTCTCCCTGAACTTGCAGTCTTCTGTGAATTTGGCCTAAGAAAACAAAACCAATAGAAGCTTATTGAAAGATCTGTATTTATTTTACTAGGTCACCAGAACTTACCCTGGTAAGGATTGGGGGCCAAGACTGTCAGCAATGTGTACCTAAAATTTATCCCCTAAATCTTTTTGATGAGGGCCTAATTGTGTGGCCTGATTTTCAAACCTGAAGGACATCTTGCAATTCCTGTGGAGTCTGTAGGGTGTTCGGTGCTTTTAAAAACAAAGCCACTTATTCTAACTCTACAGTTAAGAAGGAAGCCTTAGGTTTCCATTATTGAAATTCTTAACTGTATCACCTGCCTCAGGAGCAAAACCTTCCCATTCTTCTGTTCCTCCCCTATCCCCCACAAAAGATAATATACCACTTTATCACCTTTACTGCAGCTTGGTCAATGAATATTACTTTTTGCTCTGTAGTGTGTCCAATTTCCTGCCCTTACACATATTGCTTTCTGGCTCTATCATTGCTTAATAATCTGGAATAGCAATTTGCATGCAGATTTTCACTGCTTCACTGAGCACAGTTTTGATTGTATTTTTTTCAACTTCGGGCATTTTGTCTCCTAATATCCTTTAAAAAATTGATTTTTAGTCCAAAAGCATTTTCCCTTACAAACAGCACTGGAGTATTCCTATTACCCTAAGGACTCCCATGGACCCTAGTGGCTATAGACCTATTTCCAGCCTGAGTAAATCTGAACATCCCAGTGGGTGCATCTATACATTCGTTAATGCATTTTAGATAATGTGCATTAAATCTAATACTTCCATTGTGAAGTACTAGAAAAGTGTGGATTACCCTATTTTAATGCACATTAGCTAAAGAGCATGTTTTTCATGATGCTTTAATGCACATTAAAATAAGCTGATGAACATTAAAGTGCACATGTAGATGTGCCCTGAGATGCAAACTGTGTGCTATCCATTCACACTAGCCTTGTATAAGACCACATAGATTTTCATGCACACACAAATCCTACTGAAGGTCTACATTATTTTGGACTGCACTGGCCAGAGTCAGATACATTTATAAAATCTCTGATAATTATTAACAATCATGCTTTGAAATAATATTGATATAATAACAATGATTTGAATAATAACTATTTTTTAAAGTATTAAACCTCTGTTGATATCAAATAATATATTCTAATATCCATGTCTGCTATTACGCTATTCAATGCCTGGTCTTAGCATGACTGCAAGACTGAACTCAGTAAGGACTGCAAGACTGCACTCTAGCTGTGTAGAGGCATTTTTGTTCTCTTCCAGAAAATAAATATATAAAAGTAGTTGTGCGATGGGTAAAAGCCCAGAACCTGTTCAACAAAATTTCTCCCCTGGACCTTGATCCAGCAAAGACTTACACATGGGTCTATGGACTATTCACAGTATAAGTCTTTGCAAATATCAAGGCCTTCAAGAGCGGGGCTGAGATTTTTCAAAGTGTATAGAGAAGATTTGGTCACTGACTCCTATTATGATGAATAGATAATCAGCCTTAGCAATTCTGAATATCAAACCTGCTCTCAAAAACTGTCCAAGAAAAACAAGTCACTTGTTAAAAAAAGTGCAGAACTAAGATCAATTAGTCTTCTACAAAAAGTAAAAAGGAGTTTTGCTATGGTCAAATGTCAGGCCCTCTGTAAAACATATGGCAAGCAAATCAGCCTGGATGGAAACACAGTATATTTTCCTTAATGGAAGAGCTGAATACTGTGAAGTGTGGACACCTCTCTCTGTTAACAAAAGGTAATGCATATGAAAACAGAGCCCTCAAAGTACATGGCTAGTGTGTTACTGTAACGATGGGTATTCTTGAACACCAGCTCAAAGGGATTCACCACTTCTTGAACTGAATAATGAGAGCATTAATTGTTGTCCTGAGATCATCTAAACTGGTTTCTAAGTGCAAAGTCTGAAGCACTGGAAAGCAAAAAGAAACAATTTTTATAACCCATTGGAAAACTCAGTCCTGCTTGGTATTACTGCATTAAATCTATATCTTGATTAAGAATGCTGAGTTTCTAGAATTCAGATGACAATGCCCTTGACCCAGTAAGGCACCTTTTTCATAACAATTTAACTTTAATCTCCTTTAGCTTTTTGCTTGAAAGAAGAATAATTTTAATTATGCATTTTTGCTTTCTCTGTCTTCATTATCCAACATGATGTGTCATACATGAATGAATATTCTTCTCCCAGAAATAAAGATTGGAGCTAAATTCCTAGCTAGCCATTCAAGTACTCAATCCTGAATCTCCTGCTGGCATGAGGCATCCCACTGAAGTCTAGGGAGTTGCACAGATGATAGCTTCTTGTCTTCTGAGGGAGACAAATTCCATTAGAGGAGTCTCCAAAGGATTTTGTGAGCAGAGTGTTCTTTCTGGATAGATGTTTGTCAAAGCAGATGGTTTCAAGTGAAAAGAGGTGTAGGGGCTGTGTGCTTGTGAATCCCACCCTAGGACATTAAACAGTGCTTTTCTTGGGCTGCACCATCTTTTATATAAGATCCCTTCTGCTCTGGAAGCACCATTTGATGTTGAATTCTGGGTTCCTCTATCAGCAAGGGAAATCCTGGCAGTGCCCACTGACTTCATGCGGCCCCATAGCCATTGCAGAGACATGAGGCCTCCTTGCTGCTGATTTCTAAAGGGAGAGAAAAAGAGGGACCAAGATTACCCTTCATCATGGTAAAACCTTTAAGGTAAGGAAGCGTCTCAGGGAGAAGTAATTTCTGCAAGTTCCCCTTCCACTGTGTTCCCCACTTTGCACTGTCAACAAATGTGGCTTGCCCTGCATTGCAGAGAAAAGGTTATGAGGTCCATATACATATACAGCAGGCCTTAGGAATCCATGATGTGGGATATTGCCTACCTGTTAGATATCCTCACTCAGCAGCCCTCAGCTCCCTGCTCACCACTGCCAGTCCCATTCCCCACAGCTTTGCTGTACTCAGCTAAACTAGCCTACAACCAGAACCCCTCCTACCTCCCTCTGGACTGGGAAAGGTAAGCAGTACTACCTAGTCAGTAGCCATACAGTTGGACTCCTACTCTTTCTGGCTTCACATATAAATTAAAAGCACTGATGCTAATCACATAGAGAAAACACTGCTTGAAATTAATAAACAGCTGGATTTAAGCCCTTAATTAAATTTACTTTTAATTGGCTGGGGGGGCATTTTACTTCCTGTATTCATAATGTTTTAGCATTCTGAAATATTCTTCTCTGTTAAATTATCATTTTTCCCCCCTCAACTTAAACTTTTTTCTGGACTTCACAATTCTGTTGAGGTGTTGCTATTTCCTAGCAGGGACATCAAGGTTTGGAAGCACACATTATGGCCATTCTAATGCTGTCCTCACTCGAGGGATGGACCCCATGAAAGGATTCAAGATGGCTCCATTCAGTACAAGGGATGTCTGTTCTGAAGGTCATAGAATTTCATTTTTCCCTCTTAATCTACATCTGGCCATCAAACTAAGACAAAAAAATTAAAAGTATTGATGTGATCTTGTATGAGGGCACTGAAGCAGGTCCTTTGCTTCCTGCCAAGATTTGGATCAATGGAAAGAACAAGCTCTTTTTGTTTTAGGACATTACATTTGCTCAACTGTTGTTGGAATCAATGATGACAGCATCCTTACAACCTGATGTTGAAGTAAGGAGGTCTTTTTTAATAGACTTAGTTTTCTTTATACAAGTTATTGTGAATGTTTGATAGATACTTATTACAAGCTAATATGTATCTTCATACACAAGTGAAATTTAAGCTTACAATTTCATTGTTAAGTGTGAGGTTTTAAAGCAACACTTTCAAGGCATATGCCCAGTAAAGCTAAAAAAGACTTAAAGTATTCAACCTTAGTAATGGGGAAAAGAAATGGGAAGAGGCTACATAGCTAGAAGTTTTGTCTTTCACAAGAATAATTAAGTTGGCTAATTAAATCTGTCCTACGGAAACTACTTAGTTGAAATTTAAAGATCACAGGGTCCTTAGGTCTTTTGGAATCTGAGATGGAATTCCTTTGGGAAACCCAAGAGAACTGGGATTCCCAAGTAACACCTGGTTACCACTTAGAAAGCAAGGGGAAAGAATTTTACCACTGCCCTTGCTAGCATCCTCCCTCAGAGTACAACAATTTATATTGTTCAGTTTGTTTCATAGTTTCTAGGGTCGGAAGGGACCTGAGCAGATCATCTAGTCCGACCCCCTGCCATAGCAGGAAGAGCACTGGGGTCAAATGACCCCAGTAAGGTGGTC